GAAGGGCAGCTAGGGGCCATAGTCTCAGTGGTTCCATCAGGTTCCATCAGCAAACCTGGTCCCTTTTTTTTTTTTAATGATTCTGAGTTTTGTTCCACAATGTTCTCCTACTCTATCTAAGATCTCCTATAGAGATCTCCCCTGAGTGGTTGATAGTGGTACCCGGGCACCATCTAGTTCTGGTCTTATAGTCATATAAGCTGAGGATCGCATGTTGTACCAGTCACTTGGGCTAATTGTTTTCATGAATCTTTGGTTTTCTTCATTTTTCTCTGCTTCAGATGAGGAGATACCCATTATTGCATGTAGATGGCTGCTTGCAAGCTTTTACGAAAGTAGGATGTGGAACAATGTTTTGTGTAATATATATGCCAATTGAGCTTGATGTCCCTTGTGACTATGGTCCCAAGCCCACAGGTCCAAGTACTTGCTCCCTCTGGGGAGCTGGCTGTGGCCAAGAAGTGACTACAACCTTGCCCCCCTTCCTCCCTTCTCTATACCTGGGAATTCTTACAGAGTATGTAAATACACTTGTAGAAACATCGTCTGCCAACCCTAAACATGGTAATGGGCACACTCTTCCCTGCATAGTTCAAGCTGGAGGTGATCTTAATTCTTAATTATGTAAGTTCAGATAAATATCTTTAAACTTTTTTTAAAAAATTAAGAAAGAACCTAGAATGTATCAACACCATAAAAGCCATTTATTTTTATAGTTTTACCTGTACTTAAGTGAAAAAGTCTTTGTATGCCTTTAAAGGGGTATATGAGTCCAAAACCATGTTGTTGTTGTTGTTTTTTAACTGATGGCAGAAGAGAATTGTTATTTATTTGACATTCTATTTGCTTTTCATAGTAATATTTGGAGCCCCTGGATTTTCAAAAGGTGATTTTGCTTTTGGTTATATTTTTGAGTTAGAGTAATTCAGTTTATTGGAACTACTATTTTATACTATTAGCCTTCTTGTAGACAACCTACAGTACTATATATTTTTATGACACACTTTGCCACTATAAGATTGTGATGTTTACTTACATTTTTTCCTAATAGACTACTAATTCCATCATGTTTATTTGATTGCTTTTGAAAAAAAACTTGATAAAATAGCCTGAATAAAAAAAATTATTATTGTTACTAGCAACTTACAGTGTGCCAGGCATTGAGCTAGGCATATTACATGCAATATATTTGTTTCTCTAATAATTAACACAGTTAATCCTCAGAGAATTTTTATTATAACATTCTTAAGAAATTAATTTTAAAAATTTTATTTTGCATATCCTTTTCTGAAAGCCACCATTCTTATCTCTTAAACAGAATTCTTATCACTCTACCACAACTGTTAATCTTACTATTTGTGAGATTATTAAAATATCCTAGGTACAATAATTTTTTTTGCTATTAATCCATTTTCAAGAATTTTCCTATGTTTGTTTTCTTTAATTTGTCACTTCCTACTTTAATCCCAGAAGGAGCTTTGGTGGCCTAGTGGTTAAAATGCTCAGCTGCTAAAATGTTCAGACCTACCAACTGCTTGGTGGGAGAAAGATGAGGCAGTTTGCTTCTATAAAGATTTAAAGTCTGGGAAACATAATGGAGCAGTTCTACTCTGTCCTATAAAGTCACTATAAATTGGAATCTATAAGATGGCTGTGAGTTTTGGATTTTTTTGGGTACTTTAATCTTCATTATTATTTAAATTTCTGTATTTTTTAGGTAATGTATCTTTGGATAGTACTGTTACTCTCATTTTAAATCATTCTATTGAACTAATTTTTCATTGTTTTTTTGGGGGTAGAATAAAAAATCTTAGCAATTCTATTTCTTAGGTTTTTGTAGTATTTAAAATTATTTTCCTAAATTCAAGGGCTCTCTATCTATGCTTGTTATGAACTCGAATGATACTATTTTTACAAATTCTAATCATGCTTATATTCTATTCATTGTTTCTCAATAAGTTATGACCATTTTATAATGACCAGTGTTATTTCCTCTTCTTCCTTTAATCAACTTTCTGATTTAAAAAAAAAAAAAAAAAAAAAAAAAAACTCTGTCAAACTCTTAACAGTTAAATTGTACAAAGAGCTCTATTTAGGATATAGTGCTAAAAATCTCCCTGAAGTGTCTTGCAATTGTTTCTTGTAATAGACTCTGTAAGTAAGAGGAGCCATCACCATTTACTTTTAGTTCTTTTGCAGAGATGAATAAACATCTTACAATGCTGATTTAGACAATGTTTTAAAAATGCAGTGATGTACTTGGGTGTGTGACTAACTCTTGCTTAGTTAAATGTTTTACAGCATTATAACATAGTTGGATCCAGCTCATCTTTTAAAGCAGTTGTCAGAAAAATATGGGCCAGCATGGTAGAATGTATTAGCTCAATACATTGTCTCCATTTTGTTATGAAGCTGCTGAGGAAGCTATGATATACAGCACTGTCATTACAGATCTATTGTTAGGACGGTTCCACAATCTTCTTTGCACTGCCATTAATTTATAGCAGTAAACAATATGTAGCCTTCCAACTGCAGCAAAGCAGAATCTTTTAATGAGGTGGATGTTATTACCACAATAAATCAGTGCTTTCGTGTAATGTATAATTCAATGTGTGTATTCCCACTGTAACTTCTCTGAGTAAGCTGATAGTGTATCATTGTCATTGCACAGCTCCACTAGTCTTTTTTTTTTTTCAAAAACCTTCTTTTATTTAGGGACTTCTTTTTTATATGCTTGCAAATAAATGTAGCATGTCTTGATAGCTGTCCTGTAGCAGGCTTCAGAAACCAACTGTAACAATAACAGCCAGAATCAATACTGTGGTTCTACCTATATGGATCTCTGCACAGTGTCCTTTTTTCAGACGCTAGTGAAATCAATCCTAATTGGTTTTAGCATTATATTCAAGAAATGTGATTTTATAACTATTGATTTTGGGGGTACTCATTTGGAGAGTAATAAAAATAGGAGCAGATAAAGTGAATACTTAATATGCTGCAGCACTATACAAAAGGAGCATTGATTCTATTTTTAATTCATATAATTTGTCTCCCAATGATTTTTATTTCTTCTTTCTTTCCTTTTGCACAGCTCAGTCTTTAAGGAAAACAACTAACATACATTTAAAGACATTCCAAATTGGTTCTGTAACAAAGAAAGAATTCTTAGAGTCAGTTGTATTCTTAACTGGCATAAATCATATAATCAGATATAATTCTTTTGTACAGAAACTGATGTTTTAAAATGCCATTTTAAATTAGTATACTCTCACACTAGTTTAAAATAGTAGTCAACCAAATATTTCTAAAAATAGACTTGTAAAAATGGCTTATGTTAAAATAATGTTGACTTAGGACCAAGTTATTGAAAGACAGTGGTACCAAAGATAAAGAGTAATATGTGTGTGTGGGGGGAGGTTAATTTAAGAAAGTAGTCAAAATAGTAAATTTAAATGTTGCTTAAGAGCATGTATCTGTATGAAAAGCAATTTAAAAACAGGTCTGAAAACTGTTTCATTTATAAAAAGATTTTTTTTTTTATAAAATTACTCTTTATAAAAGATATAAAGCAAATGCCGTTGTTCTAAATCTGATTAAGGGAAGTAATCTTACATATCTCCCCTCCACACACACACTGAATTGGTACTTACGTTTTGAATAAAGACTAGAGATTTACTGTAGATCAGAATGTTTTAGAGTTGTTCTTAACCTTCTCTGAGCTCTAGACTCTTTGTGAACTTTAAGGAAATTTTGTATGTCTTCCTTAAGAAATGTCTCTGTTTGTAATCATACAAAATTTTGCATACTATTTGAGTTCATGTACTCCCTTAAAAGCATCAATAATAATGATACCAACAACGTTTATTGAGCTTTTATCCTATGCCAAACAATGTGCTATGGTCATTACAGGCATTATTTTATTCATTTCTTATCACAGTTCTAAAAGATTATGTTAAAAATAGTAGTTAGAATTTATTGACTGTTTAACATATACCAGACATGATTTGAAGGACTTTACATGTTCTTACTCATTTTATCCTCTAAAACAGCCTTTTCACAGGTACTGTCATTTTCCCAATGACCTCAGTTTCTTTACCACTTTGCTACACTGTTCTTTGGACCACATTTGTAATGTATTGTCTTTCAGTATGAACTTGTAATCTGTCTGCTATTCATTTTATATTTTTTAATATTTCATGCAGGCATATTTTGTCCCAGTTTCACTAATACTACTGGAATTCTGCAGTGAAATTTCTCATACTACTAGAAATTTCTAATTCTATCTTAATGTCTTTTTTATACAACTTCCTTCTTGTAATCTTTTTCATCCTTCTCCTAAGTTTGTTCCATCCTCTTCTCAGAACCCATGATAAGTCATTTCTTCCAGCTTCAAGATTCTGTTTCTGGTTGTTGCTTCTAATGGACTAAATAGGACTGTATAGATGCTTTCCAAGGCATTGCATAACTAATACTCAGTTCATGTAATTGTCTTTATGAAAATACTTGTTATGGACTGATTAAAGACTTATGTTCAACAGAAGCTAGACTTGTTGAGACATGACAGATGTCTCTATCACTTACTTATATGTGCATGTTCAGCCTGCTTTGAAAAATGAATTTGTTTTTCCACCTGCCCTATGAATATAATGCTGGGTTTTAAAGAAAATAATAATTTAAGAACAAAAACAAAAAATCACTTCCATTGAGTAGATACTAACTCATCTTTAGCACAGAGTAGAACTGCCCCTCAGAGTTTCCAAGGCTATAAACCATTACAGAAGCCATGCCTTTCTCCTGCAGAATGGCTGATGGGTTCTACTTACCAACCTTTTGGTTAGTGGCTGAATGCTTTTAACCATGGCACCACCAGAGCGCCTTTAGGGTGTTTATTTAATATATGCTAATATATTACCATGCCTGCTAATAAAGTAATATTTGAAGAGAGGAAGATATGAAGGATATTACATTTCTTATTTTCTGTTCTTTCTACCCATTGCCAGCCAATTGGAGCTTTGAATCCAAAAAGAGCAGCATTCTTTGCAGAGCGTTATGAATCATGGGAAGATGATCAAGTTCCAAAGTTCCACTATGGTACTCATTACTCAACTGCAAGCTTTGTTCTTGCATGGCTGTTAAGAATAGTAAGTTCAATTTGAATGATAAACCATGACTAAATAACCACAATGTTATAGAGAATGTATAATGGTTAAAAATCTTCATCTTTCTTGAAAACTATTTTTTTAATGACTGATGCTTTAATTATATATTATTTGGTATCTGTTTTATAACATATTACCATAATATTCCATTTAAAATGTTTTACCTGAAATTGTGTGACTGTTTTTCTTAAATTTGCCTCTGCAAATTGTGGATCTCTTATAAGATTCTAAATTATTACATAGGTCATATTCAAATGTAGTCTATTAAAATAAGAACTAAATAAGATTTCATAATCACAGACATATATTGATGTAGTTTGGAAACTTATAGCAAATGAAACAAGTTTACTTATTACAGTGTCTCTGTAGGTAACACTGAGGTTGCCATGTATTGATAATATATTGGTTAAACAAGAAATGTTTCTGTAAAATTGAAAGGTGATTTGTCTAGTAGAAAGTAATTTCTTTGGGAAAGCATTAGCAGCACATCATTAATTAGAGCTTGTTAGAAGCATACAGGCAGACATAAATCCTAGAAGTAATTTATAGTGCTTAGCTAATTTCAAGCAATTATCCACTAATACGTGTTTAAGTGTTCTTTAACTAAGAGGAGGCTTTTAAATCTTCCAAACATTTTTCTTTTCTTAATCATAAATTAAATATTGAGTCATAACAATAGGAAAATTACATAGTGGACTATTTCACTTTACTGTGAAGAAAATGCAACCTAATGTGTGTCTGAATGTTATTAATAAATTGTTCTTGGAAAGGAAGAAAGTCTGAAAAAAAGTAAATACCAAATATTAGAAATATTTATAAACACCGCTGAAATTTAAAAAAAAATGTAAGAACATTGGTCTAATCATTTAGATATAAATCCTGTTCTCTATGTAGTATATATTGTTGGCTAAAGCACGTTAGTCATTAAAATATTTAGATATAAAGATTTATTAAAAACCGTATTTTTATGCATAAGGAAACATACAGAATTTTTTAATTGTTTATTTTACAGGAACCCTTTACAACTTATTTCCTAAATTTACAAGGAGGGAAGTTTGATCATGCAGATAGAACTTTTTCATCAGTTTCCAGAGCTTGGAGAAATAGTCAGCGTGACACATCTGATATCAAGGTACAGAAATATTTCATTTTACAATTATTATTGCCAATGTATTTCTTGTTGAGTGAATGATGAAAATGTCTCTCCTGCAATTCAGCCTTCTTTACTAAAGGTAAAGCCTCAGAGGATAAGGCCTTAATTAAATGGCCAAGAACCACTATACAGAATTTCTCTCTTTAGTTGCAGAATATCTTTTTCCTCCTCCTTGGAGTCTTTTTTTTTTTTTTTTTAAAGAGAAATAATGTAATATGGATGTCCTTCATGTAAGGCAGCCTAATCAAGGGAATTCTGAATATAATGAATAAAATTAATATAGTCAGAAAAATACTAAGGGAAAAATCTCAAACCTATGTATTTGGAGGTTCCATGCTTCCATTCTTAGGTAATCATCTTTTAGCTGTTGTTGGTCTTAAATGTACACCTGATATAGGATTGCATTTGCTGAGAATTCTACTCTTGTTAATATGCCTGTTTATTATGGTAAAAGACAAAGTTTTGCATAGTTATTAATATAATCCTCACTGTACTTTTGTTTCAACCTTCAAAAGCACATTATTTTATTTTCTTGACATATAATATAAGAAGGTACTGTGTTAGATCTATTTTGTATGATGATATAACTGTGGTTGTGAAGCTCCTTATGATCTCATAAAGAAATACGACTTACACATAAATAAATATAACATGAGAGAAGATAATAAGTGTGCCATATGAGAGATTTTAGAGTTCAAAGGAGCAACAGTTAAATTCCTCTTGTATAAGGAGCTGTAGATTACTTTTTAAAAAATTCAATATAATGATAATTGTACATTTCATTTATGTGGTGGACTAACCAAAGGGCAAAGTGGGTAAATCCCACCTGCATCACTAATTATATATTAAGGATTATCATGAATTCATTTCCCAAAATATGCAAATGGATCCAATCTGATCTTCCCTCTTCTCCATTCTTGTCATCAATCACTAATACAATATTCTCTCTCTCCTACCCTCGCCACCCAGAACTAGGTCAGAGCTCACAAGTTAGATGGATACTTTCTTTCAGACCAGTTGCCCATGCATCATCTCAGACCCTTGCCACCTAGATCCAGTTCAGAACTTACACATTAGAATGACACCTCTTTCAGGCCACCAGACAGGCAGATGCCAGCCCCTGCTGTCTCTCACAGCCCCTTTGGGTCCATTGCTTTCCTTTGAATGCCCAGCGACTTTAAATACAACAGTTGCTAGTACTAGACAAAGACTAGAATTTCAGTTCCTGCTATTGTGCTACTGTAATTTCTAGTTTTCTATTAGTATTAGATAAGGCATTTATATAAAGTAATAGAGAACAAGGTTAACCGAAAAGTTAAAAGAATTTAAAATTTCAGTTCCTCAACATAATAAAGAGCATATATGCAAAAGCAACAACCAACATTATTCTCAATGGAGAGACACTGAAACCATTCCCCTTGTGAGCAGGAACCAGCAAGGATGCCCTCTATCACCACTTCTGTTCAACATTGTGTTGGAAGCCCTAGCCAGGGCAGTAAGGCAAGAAAGGGAAATCAAAGGCATCCAAATTGGTAAGGAAGAAGTAAAACTCTCCTTATTTGCTGATGATATGATCCTATCCCTAGAAAACCCAAGAGACTCAGTTGAAAAACTACTGGAACTAATTGAGAGATTTAGCATAGTGGCAGGATGCAAGATCAACATCCAAAAATCAGTTGGATTCCTCTACACCAGCGAAGAGATTACTGAAAAGGAAATAAGGAAATTAGTACCATTTACAATGTTGTTGCTGTTGTTATGTGCCGTCAAGTCGGACCTGACTCATAGTGACCCCTCCTTGGGTTTCCAAGGCAGTATCACTACAGAGGTAGATTGCCCCATCTTCCTTCTGATGAGTGGCTGGTGGGTTTGAATCACCAGCCTTCTGGTTAGCAGTCAAGTGCCCAAGGCACTATGCTACCAGAGCTCCCACCATTTACAATAGCTACCCAAAATATAAAATAGTAGGGAATAAATCTCACTTGTGACACAAAAGACCTGTACAAAGAAAACTACAAATCATTACTTCAAGAAATCATGAGATCTACATAAAAGGAAGAACATACCATGCTCATGGTTAGGAAGATTGAACATTGTGAAAATGTCAATTCTACCGAAAGCAATCTATGCGTTCAGTGGAATCCCAATCCAGATCCCATCAACATTCTTTAAGGATATGGAAAAACCAATCACTAATTTTATGCAGAAAGGAAAGAGACCTCAAATAAGCAAAGCCACTCCTCAGAAGGAAGATTGGGCGATCTACTTCCGTAGTGATACTGCCTCGGAAACCAAAGGAGGGGTCGCTATGAGTTGGGTCCAACTCGAGGGCACAGAACAACAACAACAACATTAAAGGAGAAGAACAAAGTAAGAGGCCTCACACTCTTGGATCTCAAAACCTACTCTATAGCCATAGTAGTCAAAACAGCCTGGTACTGGTACAATGACAGACACATAGACCAAAAACCAAAATCAAAGCAAATTCATTGCCGTCAAGTCAGATTCGACTCACAGAGACCCCTCCTTGGGTTTCCAAGGCAGTATCACTACGGAAATAGATTGCCCAACCTTCCTCCGAGAAGTGGCTGGTAGGTTTGAACCGCCAGCCTTCTGGCTAGTAGTCAGATGCCTTAGGTACTATACCACCAGAGTGGAACAGAATGGAGAACTCAAAAATAGATCCATCAACCTCTGGTCAGCTGATTTTTGACAAAGGACCGAAAACCAGTAAATGGACAAGTGTGGTCTCTTTAGCAAATGGTGCTGGCAAAACTGAATATCCATTTGCAGAAAAATGAAACAAGATCCGTACCTCACACTGTACACAAAAACTAACTCCAGATGGATTAAAGACTTAAATGTGAAATGTAAAACTATAAAGTTCTTAGAGGAAAAAACAGAGGCAAATTTAGGGGCCCTCATTTATGGCATAAATAGACTATCAATCGTAACCCAAAGATGGATCGAAGACTTATTTAAATAAAATTTTCAAAAAGATAACATAATGACATTTCAGAAAGTTTTTATTTTAAGCTGAGAGGGAGCTGTTACTTTATTGTTTTAGAATTCTTATTTCTTGCAGTCTGTCAGCTTTCAAATAATACTTTTACTGAAAAAAAAGGTTGTATAAAGTAAAGTTAAGAAATAAGATTTTTTTTTATTTCAGTGAAGAAAGAGACTTATTCAGTTTTACTGTTACTAGTGGCTGCTATCCCTGCTCATCTATCATTTTGTCATAATGTGGTGGCTTGTGTGTTGCTGTGATGCTGGAAACTATGGCACTAGTATTTCAAATATTAGAAGGGTCACCCATTGTGGTAAGGTTTCATCAGAGCTTGCAAACTAAAATAGACTGATGGGAAGGACTTAGCCACGTCCACTTCTGAAAAAATTGACCACTGAAAACCTTATGGATAACAGGGAAATACTGTCTGATATATTGCCAGAAGATGAATCCCTCGGGTTGGAAGGCACTCAAAATATGACTGAGGAAGAGCTGCCTCCTCAAAATAGAGTCAATCTTAATGATGTGGATGGATTAATGATTTTGGGACCATTCATTTGCTGATGTAGCTTAATTCAAAATGAGAAGAAGCAACTGCAAACATCCATTAATAATTGGAACGTGGAATATATGAAGAATGAATCTAGGAAACTTGGAAGTTGTCAGAAATGAAATGGAATGCATAAAGATCAATATCCTAGGCATTAGCGAGCTGAAATGGATCAGTATTGGCCATTTTGAATCGGGCGGTCCGATGATTTACTCTGCTGGGAATGACAAATTGAAGAGGAATGGCCTCATGTTCATTGTCAAAAAGAATATTCAAGATCTATCCTGAAGTACAATGCTGCCAGTGATAGAATACCATCTATGTGCCTACAAGGAAGACCAGGTAGTACTATTATTCAGATTTATACACTAAATGAAGAAATTAAAGATTGTTACCAACATTTGCAGTCTGAAATTGACCAAATATGCAATCAATATGTATTAGTAATTACTGGTGATTGGAATGTGAAAGCTGTAAACAAAGTGGAAGCATTGGTAGTTGGAAAATATGATGTTGGTGGTGAAAATGATGCCAGAGATTACATGATATAGAATTTTGTACAGTGAAGGACTTATTCATCAAAATCCCGTTTTTCAACAACATTATCAGTGACTATACCTGTGGACCTTGCCAGATGGAATACATGGGAATCAGATTGACGACGTCTATGGAAAAGGGTGATGGGGAAGCTCATTATCATTAATCAGAAAAAGGCCGGAGGGGGACTGAAACAGACTATCAATTACTTGGATACAACTTCAAGTTGAAGCTGAAGAAAATTAAAACAAGTCCATGAGAGCCAAAATATGACCTTGAGTATATCCCACCTGAATTTAGAGACTGTCTCAAGGATCAATTTAACACGAACCCAATGACCAGACAAGTTGTGGGATGATGTTAAGGACATCATACACGAAGAAAACAAAAGGTCATTAAAAAGATAGGAAAGGAAGAGAAGACCACAATAGCTGTCAAAAGAGACTCTGAAAATTGCTCTTGAATGGTGTTTTGGTTACCTAGTGCCACTCTGACAAGAATGTACCACAAATGGGATGGCCTTAACAAACAGGAGTTTATTCTCTTACAGTCTGGAGGTTTAAGTCCAAGTTCAAAGTGCCAGGCTCTAGGGACTGGGTGAAAGCCCCTCAACCTTGGGGTCCAGCTCTGCCTCCTGCTCCCAGCCCACTGGAGCTAGAGGCGTTTCTTCACTCAGACAGCTGCTGGCTGCTGAGGCTGGGAAGCCCAAGGTTGACAAGTAAAAAGGCACAGTCCCAAGGTTACCAAACCACACAGCAGGCCATTAATTTAAGGAGGCTACTGAAAAAAACAACATGGCTACATGCAGGATCCAAGTGTTCCATATGCTAGAGACCATTCCCAAAGCTGCTGCATATATACAGGAAGCAGACCACATACCCAAAA